AATCATAAACAGCTCTTCGAACACATCGCCCCGAATAATAAGAAATATTTTAATGCAAAATATCTGTATTTTGTTACTTATAACTGACTCTTTCGCTTTTAGGAGCTAAAAGCTTTTGAAAAAAAGGATTGGTCGCATGCGGAATAAAAAATAAATTTCAAAATTTGCAGAATATACCTTTGCTATTAAATTCTATATAAGCACGTTTAAGCACGATATAAATGAACGAGTTAAGTACCAATTCGATCACATTCCGTAGCTAACCTATCATAAACGTTGGAGATAGTTTTGAAATACAGCATAAATAATTTTTTTTGGAGCAACATTTCTACGAAATTAAAATTAAAAAAAAAATCAAGAACTCATATTGATTAATGTTTTCAGAAAACATGAACCAGGAACAAAAAAAAAAACGCCATCGCTAATTGCATTTAACGGTTCCTTCAGGCATAAAAAAAAAAGTTACCCGCGCGAGCATGCCCTTAGGAGCATCTGCGGTACACAACTAACCAGTGTATATTAAGATTCTATAAATTGAGCAAATGGCACCGTGTAACTTTTTATAAAAACGAAAACAGCGTAATGTATGCCTTTAGGAATCAGTTGATAAAACCGGGCAGCAGGACAAAAATATGATATATAATAATAGGGGGGAAATCATACAATTAACTCGACTGTGAGCCTTACTATCGTCACCGACAAAACGAGAACGGCAGCGACAGCCTCTCTCGGATGCCACGCCTTCAGCACTCGCGCGTCGCCTTTCACGATGCTTCGGCTGCACGAGCACGATCGAGGCTCACAAGACGCTGAATTGCTATCGAAGGCAGAAAGGTCGCGCTGGAGGCGGGAAGACGAAAATACCTCTCTGCTGTTGTTATCATTCTAAGCCACGGATCCACATTACTCGCTCTGCTAAAACGAAGCACACACCTCCAATACTCACTGCTTTCACCGATGGCATCTCTACCACCGTCACATGAGGCCCCAAAAGAGAAACAGTTTGACATCATAGACATGTACCCTCCCCTACAGCGGCAGAGGCACAGTCCATCGCTGAAGCCATCCTCTTACAACCGCACTCTGCCGACTCCATTACCATCCGCTCAAATAGTCAGGGAGCCCTCAGAGACTTCTCAACCAACTCCGTACCGGCACACATCAAACGCGGCCTTGCATCCTACATGGCAGCCCAGCCCCACCTCCACGTCTCCTTTGAGTGGGTCCCCGGAAACTAATGAATCGCAGGGAACGAAAGGGCCCACGCCCTGGCTCGCGCAAGCGAGACTCCGAGCAACCCCAAATCCTTGCCGCTAGACTACAACCCGAAAGAGGAACGCGCCGCTCATCGCAAGTCTCAACGACAGCGCCTGAAGGACCTCCGCCTTACCTGCCGCACCCTTCACCCTCTCACCTCTAACCTCACACGCAGCGGGGGTGCATACGTTCGCCAGGCACAGAGATTCTCCCTGCCATGTGACCTTATAACTAGGGTTCCGTGTTTTTGGTATATACCGATAAATAGCGGTCATTAACCCGCGAGACGTTTTTTTACATCGAAGCTGTTAAGGGCTAGTTTCCCCGGGATCGTGTCATCCCAAAGAGATGAAGACCTGTATTCTTCTTGTCCTTGTCTGTTTTACGCTATTTTGTATGTTTAACTAAGGTGAACCAACTAGCCCAGCAACGTACCCTACTAAATGAAGACACCGAACTCTGGACACCTACCACCATCTATGAGCGACGGCGGCAAGTCACGTATCTGGTTGCCGCCTTTGCTCACAGATGGCGGCGGCCTTTCGACCCTGGCTTGCAGACTTGCAACCGGCCATTACTTTCTATTGTACAGCCCCGCTGGTCTTCCTTCTTCATCAGACTGAAACGGCTGAACGTTTTTCTGACTCGGTAGAAAACGAAAAACACTAAATTCAAGCTGCCGAAAAAATGGCAGCTTTACGGAAATAATCTTTAGGCCATATTTTTGTTTTCTCGTTGACCCGGAACACAGCCTCACTGAGCTGTCTTCGGGCTCGTCCCTTTCTTTTTGAAACCATGCTATTGCCCCGCTCCCTTCCCTTATCTTTTTAGCAAAACAGTTTCCAAGTCTTTTGTCCAGGCATAGGTTTCCTATAAAATAGAAGAAAGAAGGAAAGGGGAATAATGGCGAGGAGAAGGGAGGGGGGCGATAAGGTCCACAGACTGTGTCCTCGTATCATGGGCGTGCGGAAGGCCCAACGCCGGCCCACTTCGTAGTCACTGTTCGGACGAGTTTTGCGTGCCCGTTAGAACGTTTAGCCGATCATCACAGCAATGAAATCTCCGGAGTCTGAGGAAGTACTAGTCTGCCATAAGTACGTAATCATGGTTCATCTGGAGTTCACCCTTGCTAGCCAATGCTTTCCTGAACGGCAGGCGTTTGGTGTAAAGACCGACATACTCTTATACACGATGAGCTTTGACGTCCGAGAGAAATGTGTGCGCAGCTTCCGCGATTTCTCCCTTTATATTCAGGCAAAGTGGGAAGCCGTTGTAAAGAGGAACATTCCAGCTAGTTCTCATTTCTTGAGAAATTACTTCTGGCACCAAGTGCAAGTTGTGGACCCAGCCAGAGAGCAGGAACTAATGACAGCAGAATCATACTTCAGTGGTCTGTTTTCGCCTGTTGTGAGCTCCGCCGACCTACCATCATTGAAAGAGGAACTCCTAGAGTAGTCATTGTATAAATTTTTATCTGCTGAAGTTTGCATTGACAGCTTCTGGAGAGCGCACAGCACGGAATGGCCAGTCTTGTCAAAAGCTTCTATTGATTTTCTTGCCATCTCTGTTTCAAGCGCGAACGTGGATCGTGCGTTGTCTAGACTTCGCTTCGTCACCCGCAAGGAACGTGCTTTGATGACTGACAAGTCTCTGACAATGTATATGTCAATTTTTTTTTAATAAGTTTAAGTGTTGATGTCATGCTTTTGAAAGCGTCACGCTTTCTGTTATATCTATACGTGTGTGCATTCATCGTGTGACGTGCTTTGTATGTGCTCAATAAACGTGTGTAATGTGAGGTGCGCCACGGTTTTTGTAGTGATTATGCAGTCGCTTTGCAACACAAGCCCTGATAATCACCGATTCCTTTTCGGCATTGAAATTAAACGCCGAAAAACACCGATTTCGAAGGGAGAAAATAAACACCAATTAATAATTCCCAAATTTGAAGAAAAATAGATACCGAAAACGCGGAACCCTACTAATGAAGTTAAAGCAAGGGTGCAGGCAAGCTGGTTGAGTATACACATTTTAACCCAGGTGAGTGGGGACAGGGAGGACAACACGACACAGATCTCCCCCATATAATGAACCACCCCGGTACCCCCTAGTCAGGTCTGCGGCGCCAATCCCGACGCCAGACACATCTACTGAAAGAGGTCAGCATTTTTTAGGTCCCCCTCACTCACAGCCACACTCACCTCAGCAACTCACTCACTCTCACCATCACAACTACAAACACCATCAAAGTCACACCCCACCTTCAGCCCTTCACTCACCCTCACTGAACCTCACGCCCCTCACGCACTCACCCCGTCAAGGCCCTCACGCACTCATACCCCTCACGCACTCACGGTCCTCACAGCCCTCACACCCCTCACGACCTCACTGTCTTCACAGTCCTCACTCACCCTGACACACATGAATTTTCAAGTTCAGAAACTCACGCAATTTCACCTCACCTGTGAAAATGAGAGTGAGTAAGGGTCCTCATGGGTGAGGCCTGCCGAGGTGTGGCCGCGAGAAGTCACAATACCTGCGCGGCCGCTTACAAATTCTCTACGCCTTCAAGCAAAATTAATCCTCACTGAGAACTCGTCGTCCCGCACAAGCCCCACACGCAAACGCAAGCGCTTCATTTGAGCTACAACCCTCACGAAGGGATGCCCCTTACTTCCCTCACCACTCTCGATGCCCTTACACCCCTCAGGCACTCTCGGTCCTCTCACCCCTCACGCACTCATAACCCTCGCGCACAAAGCGCCCTCACGCCCCTCACAGTCCTCATGTCCCGCATGCACTCATGCCCTTCACGCACTCACTAGCCACACAGCCCTCACGGTCCTCACGCCCCTCGCGCACTCATACCACTCACGCACTCACGATTTTACAACCCTCACAGCCCTCGTGTCCGTCACGCCCTCATACCTCTCGCGACCTCACGATCCTCACTCACCCTCACGCTCATGAATTTTCGGGGTTCAGAAACTCACTCAACCTCATCTCACCTGTAAAGATGAGGGTGAGTGAGGGTGAGTGAGGGCCCTCATGAGTGAGGTTTGGCGAGGTATGTCTACTGGTCTTGCCCTCGCACCAAACAATCTCTCCACTTTCTTTTTCCACATCTCCTCCCTTCCCACATTCCCGTTATCTGGAAGAGCTGGGACAAGACCCCTCCCCCCCCCCCCCCCCCCCCGTCGAACTTCCGTCCTGTCCTCTGGCCTCACCTAGTGCAACACACTTCCCATGTGCGGGACCCCTTGACTTCGACAACACTCATTCAAGCTCCGACCTGACCGCCAAAGCCCCCGGGAAGCCTCACCATCTTAGTAACCACTGCCCGGACATGGGCGGCTTGAATAAAGGTTTTCTCTCTCTCTCCCCCTTTCTGATACCCCGATACACACTTAGCGCTGGCGCGTGGCTTCATCTATAGTTTCATTTGCGCGAGAACACGTGCGGATGACCTGGGGAATCAAACCTTATGCTCGCGCCAGCGGCTTTGACAGCGTTGTTCAATCATTATTAAACATAGTGTAAACAGAGCACACAAATTAAAAATGCTTATTAGAAGAATATTAAAAATGTAACCTATGAGGTGATTCAAAGACCCTTGTTTTTCTGTATGGAATACAAATGTAACTGCAATATGGCCAAGTCTTCCAATTAAACAAAAATAACGAGCGTAATTACGTTAATAAAATTACAGTGAAGTGGAAGGGGGTCGCAAATTTGGCACAAACCTCGATCGCTTCCGTCTTCTGTTGAACTTTCTCCAAGTAAGCCGCATATTCTTTGTATAACTGCAATACATGCCACAAAGAGTTTCGTTGCATCTTTTGTGCACACTTTCAGCATAATAGCAGTATCCAAATCTCGTAACACAGTAACATAAAACCAATAACAAGCAAGTCGAGAATGTGTAAAAATAGAAGCCTATATTGACATAATTGACAACCGCATAAAAAAAATTCTAGTTCTGAGATCTGCAGCTGAGATCGAAGGAAACATATGTTTTTGAATATATTGGAAGACCGCAATGTCATTAGCAATTTGTGAAAAAGAAATATTGCATAAAAATGTTACCCAGAAGCGTTTAGTAAATACTGAATATATCACATGGTTTCAAAGATATACTGTGAATCAATCCCTTGACTCTGTCACTGCATTACATCACTTATAACCCAAATAAAAGGAATTTGAACCTTAAGTGCGAATGGGACACAGACTCTTTTATATTTACGTTATACGAACCACATAGTAATTGATGACTTGATCAGCTGCAGATGTAACGATTCAAGTAAATTTTGGATAAATTACTTTTATTCGAGCACCCCGGCAAGTACTCATGTCTTTATAAATAAATAAATATATATATATATATATATATATATATATATATATATATATTTTTTTTTTTGGGGGGGGGGGGGGAGGGTTTATTTTTTTATATATTTTTAAACATAAGAAATTAAAAAATTTAGATTGCTTTTGATAATTAACGATACATTGTAGACTCACGGGATGCGATTTTTCCTTTTTGCTGTAGCATGCATCCACCTATGGAATAAATAGAGCACGTGTATAGGATCAGGTCTGGAACAGCTGCCCACCGATAACAAAAAAGAAGTCATTTTAATGAATAGCGAAAGTCGGTCTGACTCGATAGAGGTATGAATCACACTAATTCGTATCATCTCCTCCTAGCGAGGGTAAGCAGTGAACCACATGTGCGCACAAAGAACCGAATTCGCCCTTTTTTTTAAGGCAACAAACTCATTGGTGCCATCTATTGAGTAGCCAAGGCACATTTCTGGTTCACGTAAATTTCCTAATCTTTTACTCTAGATTATTTTATAATAATAGTGACTTAAATCTGGCAGTGCTATAAGTGGTTGTTTCCCTAGGATAGCGTGTAAATTTGATTTCGCAAATACTGCCCAATTCGCCTTCTAGTTCAAAAACGGAATTGGTTGGAGGCTATTTGCACACTAGCTCCACCACGTTTCAACTCACGCGAGAAAGAGCGGATAGCGGACGAAAATTACAATAGTCCCACTTCCTCTAAGAACAGAAAAAAAAAACAAAAAAACATGTCGATGTTTACGCAACGAAAATTTAAACTGTTCTTTGAACTAAATATTTTTTCCCGATTTATGTTCAGTAAATATCCTCGCATTTCGAGAATTGCAGAAACCAATCTTAGTGCCATCCATTTTTTCTAATACTGTGTTTTTAGAAACACTTGTTTTCTTAGATGGCCCCATGATGCGCGCATGCCCTCATAAGAGAGAACGGTATAGAGGGCGAAAGGTCCGGGCTTGTAGCTCTTAGTTTGTTCACAATTAAGCTGAATGAAAACATATACAGATTCCTCACAAAAACTAAATAATCAAATTAATAAATTCAGATTTTTGATTGTATAAAAAACTATACATGGCGGAAAGCTGCTACTCCGTATGAATGCGGAGCTTGCGGGAGAGATGAAATCCGAAAGTCAGAGAATAAAACGTTGCATGTTTCAAGATATGAAACCGAAAAACAAATTATTTCTATAAAACCGGGGTCACGCTGCTTCTAAATCATACAAATGGCAGTCTGCATATAGGTTCCAACGCCAGTCACCGCGAAATCCGTGCTTCAAACACCGCATGGCAATGACTTCAGCGAGAAAAGTTTTACACGCGGCATTTGAACCACGGATATTGCGACGACTAATGTTTGCAGAATAACCTTTGTATGATGTATCAGCAGTGTTAGCCCGGTTTAAGGCGACGTACTCTTAAACATGACAATCAAGAGAAAATAGCATTGTTGATACGGGCATTTATTAGTATTATTACTATTAGAAAAAAAAAATCAAACCGTAATATTGTCACCAAGAAAGATTATCCGTTTTTCTCTCTTGTGGAAAAGAGGAAAGGACGTAAGATGAGAAGTGGAATACCCCATTCACATGACCGTAAAGGTACCTTTAGTTGAGGGACCTTTATTCTCTGCGGCCAATCAATTAACGATCTTCCGCGCGTGGCGTGTGCTCGCGTCCCAAGAGCACGGGCTCATTCGCCGATAATAAAGGGACCTTTGTTAAAGGTACCTTTGTGCTGACCGTGTGAATGGGGTATAAAACAGGTTGGTTAACCTGGGTAATTGTCCAAGTTGGCTACTCTGTGCTGTGTGAAGGGGATGGGGAGGTTAAAAAAGAGTTCGAAAGAGGAGAGAAAAGAGAAAATAAGAGGCATAAAATTGCGAGTCCTGATCACCAAGGACACGGTACAGTTCACGAACACCGAGAGCCACGAACACCGAGGCAAGATGCTTGCATTGAACTGAATGCCACAAGAGTCCACAATGCGATTTCTTTGTTTGACTAATATTAAACCTAAAGGGTCGTCAGCTCATAGAGAAGTTATATTTTTATTTGTTATATTTTGCTTCAGATAACGTCACGTTTTCAATATATTGCATTCTACAATCATCGCTATAGCGTCATCTCCACACGGTGTTTCTTCATTCTGAGATGCCTAGTTTATTATTGCGGTCCAAAAAAATCTGGGTTCCAATCTCTCTTTCGCAACCGGTAGATTCCAAATAGAGTCTGAAGTTTATATTTAGTTCCCAGATAAATATTAATCAGGTTAGCCGTGCTTTCTTTGGAGATATTAGTTGATTTCTCTCTGAGCTTCCTGCGAGACAGGAAAGGCACGGAAATTGGTTGAATGTAGCGAATTCGTCTTACAGTGCCTTTACGTCGCGAGAAATGTTTTACATATTTCACAGGGAAGAATAACGTTACCGTGCTTTCCACTTTTCCAGCGTCGACTGTGGTGTAGATCTCTGAGGCGCACTGCGGGCACTTTCGGGGCGCCCTCCCGTGGGACGTGCAGTAGACATCCACGTATCCGGTGGGACCGGTGGGCTGGACACGAGATAGCACCAGTGGGTTTTTACTTATCTAACATTAAAGAGATTAAACGTAGCTGCGGCCTCGAAATATAAGAATATCAATGGCACAGTTTGATTTCAGAAACCAGATGCTCCCTGCCCCGAAAGGGAGCAGAAAAAATATGTTCCACTCAATGAGGCTCATTGCGTCAATATATGTGCAATTTAGTTCCATAGCCAAGCGTTCTTGAGGCCACGCCTCAGGGAGTTTGCCTAGAAAAGCTGTCCCGTGCGATGACATTCATGGATTCCTAATGTGTCGTCCCTGGTGGAGACGTCTCCAAATCTGCCTTGACCCCAGCGACCGCGGTCATTGTTCGCGAACCGCTGACATAAGAAACGTTATCCATAACCTTTCTTATCGTTAGTTTTTTATAACGTTTATCTCAGGGTGAGAACGGCAGGAAAGTTTTTCTGCTATCCCGCCTCCTGAGCGAGTTCTCTTACCTTTGATAATGTTCCGGCGTCTCGCCAATACCGCGCCGTGCATGCGCGGCCATAGCGCCGACGGAAGTCAAAGCTTCCTGCTCGCTGGATGCATGGGCAGTTGTAAGAGACGCCGCAGACACCTGTCCCCTCAATGACTACAGTTAACGTTGTCCCAGCAGAGGTTGTGCATAAGGGCTCATGTATCTCTAATCACTCATTAGAATCCTACGGAAGGGCGATGCTAATCTTATTATCCAATGGTTGTACGCCTCCCCATCCATTAGCATGTTCACGTAATCCCAACAGAGTTTTCCTTGCTAGGATTCAGCGCCCATGCTAAATACTCTTCGCAAATTAACTAATCACACAAACTCTTTCTCTCTCTCCCCTTCGTTTACACATGTATTATACGAGAAATTTGAAGCGCATGCTGGGTTCATTGAAACATCACAGTTCATCCAGGTAACAAATAAGGTACCTAGATTTTCGTATTACATGTCAGTTACACAATACTTACAACTATAAAACTTCACTATAAAATTTTGCAGCTCACAAAACCTTATATTTGTTGGTAAAAGTACACTACAAAAATGACTCAAATTATTTTATTTCGACCTTAAGGCTTACGCATGTAATAAAAATGCGTCAAATCTAGTGAGTTGATCTGGCACAATAATTGCATTACACATAGCGTCGTAACATCTTTGCGTGCGTCAATAATACTGAACATCTTCATTTAAAAAGACCGGACTCTACGTGAAAAATAAATTACCAGTAGATGAGTATATTTTTTGGCGTGGTAAAGTGCCAAGAACTGTCATGTCGACATCACTTACCCCGTCAACAATTGTGTCTTCTTCGTTTTCAGCACAGGTCAGGTACTGTCCAGGAAGGGGAAGATGAAACCACAGACCTTTTGAATTACCCTTAACACTAAGCACTCAGCTAAAGATGCATTGTTTAATGAAGAGTGCCATTCATTTTTTTTTCTAAGCACAATGCACACTTATTATAAGATATTTACACTATGCTTAGATCAGATAAAAAAAATCTACTACTCGTTTTCGTGCACTTCTTCTCTATAAAAGGGGGGGGGGGGGGGGGGGGTGACGAGGAGGGGGTGGGAGTATGAATGCGTTAAAATGTGAGTGTAGTCAGCATGTATATCTACGATTATTACACGAGATATTACCTTAATTTCCCACCACGGTAAACTCTGAGCCTCGTCTCCTTTTTCTGAGTACGCCATTAGAAGTGTGTAAAAACTCCGTTTTAGTGCGTTCAGAATCTGTTGATATTAAAACGGGCAGGAGCTGAATTCTAACTCATAATTAGGGTTCAGAGTTTTCGGTTTAAACCGATAAAAACCGATAAAAGTACGCCAAATCTATTTTCGGAAATTTGGTTTTAACCGAAAAAGGTCAGTTTTTAGGTTCAGCGTTTTCGGTTTAAACCGATAAAAGCCGATAAAATACCCCAAATCCATTTTCTAAAATTTTGTTTTAATTGCAAATATTCAGTGTTCTAGGGCCGCGTCGAGATAGGCGGTAAGAGGGTGGGGGAGGGAGGAGGGGAAAGAGGGCGTTGCAAGGTTCGACAATGTGTGACATTTTCATGACTGCCCCCTGCCAAGGTTCAACATGCAACAAAAAAGTCTTGGGTTGTCCTTCGCGAGATGTCTGTGTCTTTTCTGTGATCGGGCTTAGTGTGTCAAGTCCCTGGCCCTAAAAAAAGTTCGAGTGTCGGCTAGTATAAAGTCTTTTGCTCGGTGCAAGCTCTGCCGCCAGAGTTTACAGAGTACACGAAATATGTTGTGCTTCAAAACGTTGCACCGTGTCTCTTTTGGTAGTAACATTTGGTTGATTGGCCGATATTGGCTCAGGCAGCGCTTCATCTCCTCAGCCCGCCAGTGTCCAGTGCTAACGTTAAGAGGGCATTCTCGAAGATCAGTGTCATTAACAGGAAAGAATGAGCGTGGATCAGCGAGGAGAATCTGGGGAAGTACATGTCTGTTTGCTATAGTAAGATCACGTAATCCTGATGTACAGAAGGTGAAGTTCAATATTTTCGGGCACTAACTTGTTTGTACTTATCTGTTATTTTATTTATTTATTTTTTTTGCAGTTGCACATATTTGTTAAATAAAGTGTCTACGTTTTTGTCTTTTTTTTTCAACGTATCTGCGCCGTTATTCTTTGAGTGAACACAAATATCAGAGCTAGAAGGATCACCTGATCCGGTGTTCGATGGTGTTTCCTTCAGATTCACCGAAAAAAAAAAACGGTAAACTTTTGTGGGCACAGAAACCGATACACCAAAGATTAAAAAAAAACGAAAAAAAAAAGAATTTTAAAATAAACACCGAATAAAGTACGTCGAATTTTGAAAAAACTAAAAACCGGAAACGTGCAAACCTACTTATCATTTCAAGGTCTGCAGCACGACTCTTCGCTTCTGTGCCACTGTGCACGTAAAGGTTAACACAAGAAAAATTAGCAGGTTCATCGCTACATTATATCATTGTGTTTGACATCCCATCTTTTTCATCTTGATGATTGAGCTCTAATTTATCGTTTAGCGCCACTAGTCCCCCTACTAATTTGGCTGTTTTATCTTAGAATATATGAAAAAAAAAAAAAAAACTAGCATCGACATTTTAGAACATTAGGAATAGTTGAACAAAGAAGGCAAACACATGTATTCTCGCAAAAGGGATAAACAACAAGATGTTCGTAGAAAGGGCAGCCGTCCGTCCCGTCTATCCGCGTGCACGGCTGGTTGAAGTACGCTCTCCTATCTTTTGTCTCGGAGTGCTTTGTTCTCACATAGTTCGTAAAGTGGGGCCATGAGGAGTGAGACCGGCGCAATCCAGGTGCGCGAGATGAAAGTGTGAGGGTGGTATTATATATGTAAAAAATAGCGTCACGTAAATGAATGTAGTTGCCTTTTAGGGGACACTGTTTCGTTGGACCTTATTTTCTACTGTCAGATTTGATATCTGTGTTGGCTTCCTTTTAGCAATAATGCCGTCAGCGAGAAAAGAGAATTGACCAATAATCTCTAGGCCGTGACCTTGATTTAAATGTGCTACAATGCATGAAATGCAGTATTGAAGGTGCGATCGTTTAAAATTAGTTGGAAGACGTTAAACCGTCGTTTGGGGGTGTGAAGAACCAGTATTCTCATCAATTTCCCCAGTACATTGAGCGGGGAAACTGGGTACATAAGTCACATTGCGTAAATTTTCCCGTTAAATTTAGCGGAAAAATTAAATTGGTGTACAACTCATGTGACGTCCACTTTCCTGCAAGAATTAGTGGGGAAATTGTATTTAGTAAACAGGATAACTGGGCGAGTTAAGGTATGGATTCATAATGGATCAGCGCGAATTTTTGCAAGGACAGAGGAAGGAACTGGGCAGGGCGAGCGCTCACTAACAACTGAAAGGTTTATTTTCAGGAAACCACGAAGAAAAATATACGAAACACGACTCTCTAATCACGATGTAAATGCGCATGCGCCTCACAAAGTTGGGTGCTATCAGTTACACAATGTTATATGCGTCATCCCCGATCTAAAAACTCCACCTCATTGTCCAGCAAATTCAAGGAAGCCTGACTCACGCGGGCTGACCCCTCCTTCTTTATTCTATGAGCTTCAACAATCTCTCAAGCTTTTTGGTCCCTGTGTTTATACAAAACAACGGCTTTTTCAAGTAACGGTGTGCAGGCGCAGTCCCTGCAGTGTAACGCCAAGTGGGAGCTTGCCGTACCTGTTAAAGAACTACGGTGTTCCCGCAGGCGAATGTTGAGGCACCGCCCCGTTTGTCCGATGTATTCGCCTCGAGATCGAACCGTGCCGCCACCGTGCGGCCGAAATTGGAAACGCGCGAAAGCGGGGAAACCGCCGTGCGTCGTCTGCTACGGGCGCACGCTCAGAAGCATGGATCTCGACGACACAAGCCCGTTTCAGGCTGAGCTTGACATTCTTATTAAACGTTTTATGTTTTTGTTGCCGTTTCTTCTTACTAAAGGTTGTGTTGTATCGTTTGCCATGCGTAGAAATTCAGCAAAGCGATTATTTTTAAGTCGGAAGCTTCCATAATCTTAGTGTGTTGTTTTTTATGCAATCGCTGGTCCCACGTATTTTTGCTATCTCGCACAAACCGTGACTTTCATAAAGCATTGAATGTTTAGTGGGTCTGTGGTTTGATTAGAAATTTAACCCGACTGATCGCTATCCTTCAATAGACTAATCAATCACTTAATCCGTATGTTGATTTTTCCCCGGTCATATTGCGTGAAAGACGTTAAAACTATATATATATTTTTACTGGTTTTACTATGTCATAAATGGCATATTGGATTCCCATTCTAAACTTCACGTTGTGAGTCCTACATAAATATGAACACAGAAGCCTTTTAAAATGAAGTATTTTTAAGTTATTATTTAAACAGTATAATCACCCTCGGCGAAATGCCAAGCACGCTGAAGTGGTTTACCGTGCAAGCCTGTGTCACAAAAGAAGTAAAGACGCCAAAAATATTAGAGCAGGCATATTTTACTCCTTGATGACTTTCTCCAGCACAAGACTCCACCGGCAAAAAAAAAAAAAATTGCAATAAAAGCATCACTCGAATAGTCGGAAAGTTAATCGATAAACTGCCGTGTGTCGTGGTGCGCGTCGTTTGCTTGGGTTGCAAAGTCTACCGTGTTTGAATACAAGATTATTTAGCCAGAAATTTATAGTATTAGCCTCTTGACATCCGCGGCTCTCACCGAGAAAATTGAAGCGGGTAAACCCGCACTACCGAGAAACGCATTTAATAATAGAAACATTGTTACGTTGCTCGGTTACACTCGTTTATTACAGTCACGGCAGATATATTAAAACAGTTTGCTTCACTTGTTTCAGTTGTGCTGCCAACGTTCAGTTTGCAGATTTTAACTAGAAGAGACACTCTCTCCTCATCGGAACGCAGTAGATTTGTTCAGACTCCAAAATCCTTACCCACACTATGGCACAGTAAAAAGGCAGAGGAACTCAAGAGCATGTTAATTTCCAATACAGCGCTAACTTATCTTCATTCTAAATATTTATATTACTGCAAAAGCTAGACGTTAAAAAAAAAAAAAGCCCAGAAGCTGCGATTTCACAGCTCACAGTTGCAGTATTATATTAGCTGGGTTGGAATTTATTATTATTTTTTAATTCCCACGTTGATAAACCGATACATCCATTCTAAAAGAAACAAATATTTAACATAAATATTCCAGTTTAGCCGCAGACAGCCATCAGTCGTGGTGATCCATGCTTTCCAACGTCTACCTAGAGCAGACGACGCACCCACAGAAGCGATTATATAAATTTGGGCCGCACGCTGGCAACACGATTCGATCTTCACTGAAGCATCGAAAAGTACTGCATACTTTTCCGCTAGAATTGTTTTCCCACCGATAGTATGCGACAAAATAAACGCAAGAATCTACGCCGTCTCGCGCGCGACCGTGGAGAGCCTATGGGGCGGCCGTTTTCCTATCCCCGCTTTGATGATGATGATAGCGCGACCGCAGCGCCACCTCTAGGTCGATCTCGAGGCCAATACCTTCCCGCAGGTGAAGGGTATCTTGTATAGACGCTTTGCAGCTGCTGTGCATGGACGCCGCCATAACTGACCTTCAGTTTTTGTTTCCTCCTATTCCGTTTATTTCACTTCATCATTACCATAGAAGGCCAGGTTATTGCCACATTGAATTCAACTGTGTCTTTTTCTCAAGCATCGGCCTTTGTAGAGGATCGTTAACTACCGTTTTAGTTGCTCGGCATCTCGGTAAGACAAGAGAAGGTCACCAATGGCGGCTGTAATTTGGCGCGTGTGCA